CAGACTAGGCCTGGCCCCTTCTTACCACCTTTCCAGATGACACAAACCACCTGTACCAGGGACTCCTAAAACCTGTCTCCCCTGGCAGACTCTGATTCTGGCACCACCTGCCCACCAAGGTCTCCACGGTGCCTCCCAGGCATCTCACAGTGGGCAGATCCAAAATGGAGCCCCTCAGTGTCCCCAAGCCAGAGCCTGTGCAGCCTGTGCTGGCCCCTCCACCCAGAGACCTGCCCTCTTTCTCCCAAGGCCACTCCTGCAGAGCCCTCCTCCCCCAACTCAGCTTTTCCCACAGCCAGGCAGCTCTCCTGGCCTTCTGCCCTCCACTGTGTCTCCACCCAGCAGCCAGAGCAGTTTCACAGTAAACATCTCAGACATCCAGTCCATGCCAAAATCTTCCCACACACATCAACTGAACACTCCAGTGCTGCCTCCAGGATCTGCAGGACCAAGGCTGGCCTGAGCTAATCCCTGCTCCCTCTCCCAGCCCTGAGAATTTCACCTTCCCGCATATGCCAAGGTCCTCCTTGCCTCAGGCAGTTTCACTCAGGCTCAAGTCTGCCTCTCCCCACCCTGCCTGGTGCCAGCAGCTTCTCAGCCCTCAGATCTTGCCCTCAGTGCCACGGCCTCCCCTGAGCACTCAGGACCAGCCACTGTTCTTCACCAGTGCCCTGCTCTTTTCCACGCAGGATGTACACCATGTGCCACCTGCCTCTGCCCGTCTGTGCCTGGTTTCTCACTAGCCTCGCCTACCAGCTGTGGCTTCTCGAGAGGAAACAGGTCTGTCTTATTCAACACTGCACAGTCAGAAGTAAAATGGGAACTGGCCATGGCTGGTCTTCAAGAAGAATGAAGCAAAGACTATGCCTGTCTTTCCCCAAGTATGATCCGACCAGTCCAGAATGAGAGAGAGGTAAACACATGGTAACAAATGGTAAAGGAAAATAATTATTTTTAATCTTCAATGGTTTGAAATGCCTCTGGATTGAACCCCAGTTATAACTCCACACCATCTGCTCAAAGTACCTGCGATGAAATCTCTGGGAAGTCCTCAGGGTCCGTGTCTGCCTTCTGAGGAGCTGGTAGGACAGGTGGATTTGCTGGTTTCAACCCAGTGATTTCTGGCCTCATCTTCTGCTCTTCCTCTAGCCTGAAAGCCAGAGCTGAATAAGAGAAGCTGTTTTATTTCAAATATGCCACAAGGCCTACAAGAGATTTAAACTGCTTCATAAAAACGCTTGGCAGGTGCTATCCCTTACAAATCAACATTATGAGACCTGATAGTGACTGAAATTAATTCAACAATAGCCCAAGGGAATGAATTCTTTTTCAAAACACTTGGCAGTTTGTGTCCTTATCCATAACACAGAACCTCAAATCTTTTGCCTTCCTATTTTCCATTCAGGGACGTTCAGCGTGTGGCAGGTGGGCAGGAGTCCTTTAGCTCTGCTCCACAGAGAAGCATCTTAGACCGACTGACAAGAGATTCTCTACGTCCTCACCAGAACTCTGCCTGGTCTTTTCCAAATACACGCTAATGAGTGTTATGAAATTAGTGTGGTTATTTAGGTTGAGTGTTCAAGCCCACCAGCTGATTTACTCTATGAGGGAGGCTGGACGTATCGGTACTTACACCAGATGCCTAGAAAGCAGTCAGACAGCATCAAATTGACATCTGTGTTCTAGACAAGTGGTTAAATACAGCTCTACCTTTCCCTTTATCTTGATTTCTTGCCAATTCATTGCCATATATGCCTCCTGGAGCTGTTTAAGGTAGAATGCAAGATTGCTTCTGCCCAATCAAACCTCAACACTGATATCATTTTCAAGTACACGTATTTCTGATACCTTTCCAATGGTCAGCCAAGTTGATGTAGAAGAGGAGTCCACAGAAAATCAGAAAGGCAAGGAGGAAGAGAATCATATTCCGCTGCAATCTTGACAGTTGCTTCCATTTCTAAGAGAGATACAGAGAATGACATTTCTTACTGAATATATCACACGGAAAGTCTCAACTGTCACAAATTGTGAGGAAAATAAGGAATGCAGGAAGATCCAGTGTTCAGCTCTATTTCTTTCTTTCTTTCTTTTTGAGACAGGGTCTCATTCTGTCACACCTAGGCTGGAGTGTAGTGGGTGGAACGCGGCACGAGCCACCGTGCCCAGCCAGCTCTATTTATTTTGAATGGGGAAAAGTTCCCTCTCAGCAGGGAGTAGGAACATTGCTGGGACAATACTACAGATGTCATTAATACAGTAGTGTAGATGACATGTGAATAAGAAAAAAGTAGAAACATTTCTGTCATATTTCATCAGCAGTGGAAAAAGACTCCCATGATTCCCACAGATGTAACCCAGGCACCGCCCAGGCGATGCATGGGTCCGGATGTGGTAAAGTTATCAATGCCTTTCGTCCTGAGACCACCACGAACACACCAGGAGCCAACCAAGAGGGGCTCATTTCTCACTGTACTGAGGGGAGCATACACCACGGGGAACCTCCGGTTTCTGCTCCAAGAGGGGCAGGCGCCTGGGCCAGGAGGACCTTGCAGAAAAGCGAACAAAGCCCAGAAAACCTGCTAGGGCTCCAAGCCCTCCTCCCATCACCGCCCCGCAGAATTCGGGCCCCTGAGACCGCTGCAGCCCCGACCCGGAACGCACATTTGCCCCTTTTTGCAGGGAAGGGGTGGAGAGGGCGGCGCCGGGGGAGTCGAGTCCGCCCGCCCAGGCCCCGCTAGAAGCCGCAGGCTGGGAGGGCGGCGGGCACAGCGGCCCTGGGCCCCGGTCAGCCCGGCGCGGCCCTCACCCTCCAGCACGAGCGCCGCCGCCAACTCTTGCTGTTGTCATAGCTCTCGCCAAAGCTCAGCGTCACCGAGATGAAGTCCCGATGAGGCGGCGGCGGCGGCGGTGGGTACATGACTACGGTGGTGGCTACAGCCCAAGGGGCCCCGCCCACTGGCGGCGTCAGGAAGTCCGACTGAGAGGAACCGAGAGCTCCGCTTCTCCTGCCCTCGCAGGCAGCCATTGCACCGCCGTCAAGAGCCCGTCCATCGCACGGATACACGATTGCGCATGCGCCACGTCTCTATGCGACCACTGCGCCTGCGCCTGTCTCCGCACGTTCCAGCGTACGGGACTGCGTTCTACGACGGCTGAGTCAGAGAACGGCTGCGACTCCGCCCTGCCGTCAGGTTCATTGCGCTTGCGCCGGCGCAGATGTGCTCGGAGCGTAGCTGTAGCAACAGGGCGGGCCTTGGTTCCGCGTGGGGCGTGGTCGCTGTCTGGGTCGCCCACGTGGTTCGCCTCACGGGTCTGGAGCTGGGCTTTTCTCGCCTCCCGTCGTCGGGCTGCACCGGCTTTGCCCACGCCCTCATGGGAGACGCAGATACCCGGGACCCGGGGAGGCGCCCGGGCGGCGCCGCCATGTTGGCAGGGAGTCCCC